CTGGTCACTCCTGGCAGTGCTCGGGGGAACAGGGACTTCCCCAGTGCCTGCTGATCCCCCCTGACTAGTTTGTAACAGGCCACTAGATCCCCCCTCAGCCTTCTCTTCTGGAGGCTGAACAGGTTCAGGTCCCGTAGCCTCTCCTCATAAGGCCTGCCCTGCTGCCCCCTGATCATACAAGTGGCCCGCGTCCGGACCCTCTCCATGTTGTCCACATCCCTCTTGAAGTGTGGCGCCCAGAACTGGATGCAGTACTCCAGCTGTGGCCTGACCAGTGCCGCATAGAGGGGGAGGATCACCTCCTTGGACCTGCTCGAGATGCATCTGTGGATGCATGACAAGGTACGGTTGGCCTTCCTGACTGCTTCCCAACACTGCCAGCCCATGTTCATCTTGGAGTCAATGATGATTCCAAGATCCTTTTCTGCCTCTGTACTGACAAGAGGGGAGTTCCCCAACCTGTAGGTATGGTGCCGGTTGTTCCTCCCCAGGTGCATCACTTTGGGTGATGACCTTTGGGGGGTGGGGGGAGTCCTGGATGGGAAGACCAGTGGTATAGGAGCACAAATCCTGTACAGTATGTAATTCAGCTAAGGGAGAGGCTCTGAAGTTAGCTCGGCACCCCCCTGCAGTCTTCCTGGTCAGGAGTTCCTCATCCCCTAGCTTGAAAGGCTGGATTCCCTGGCTTGGCTGAGCTCCAGGCTCATTCCACTCAAGCCCTGTCCACCTTTGATCAGGTGCCCTGTCAGAAGCAGCACAGAAGGAGGCCCTAAACAATCTCAGAGGGGTCCAAGAGTTGCAAATGGCCACCTATGTTCAAGGAACCCGGATGAGGAACTTCCAAGTTGGAGACCAGATACTAGTCTCGCTTCCTGACCAAGATCCAAAGTTGCTCGTACCCAACTTTGCAGAGTGAGTGGTATCTTGACAGAGCTCACATGAATCAGAGCCCCAGTCAAGGAGAAATGGACCCCAGAGGCAGAAAGTGGCTTCTAAGAAATAGAGGGTGCTCTGTCAGTCTCCTCTTTTGTATACACCAGATTTTAATAAACCACTTGTGCTACAAATAGATGCACTAAATGTGGCTATTGGCACAGTCTTAACACAGAGAGACACGAAGAATTCTCAGTGGTACACATACGTGGGAAACTACAGCCCCAAGACTTATGCCACAATAGCGAAAGAATGTTTGGCAATTTTAAGTGGGTGATAGAAATGCTCAGATATTATTTGTTAGGATGCCAATTCACACTAATTGCAGACCATACCCTGTTACACTGGCACCACAATATGAAGACTAACAATACAAGATTGATGAGGTTGACCCTCAGTCTACAACCATATTACTTCTCAATAGAACATCTGCGGGGGACTTGGAATGTGGGTGCCGACTTCTTCTCAATGAGATATGGGTCAGAGGAGGATTTAAAAAGGAGTTTAACCCCCCAGGGAAGGGGGGGTTTCTAATGCAGACCCCTTACCCTGTTACAGAAAAGCAAAATGGCCCCTTTAAGCAAGGGTTTTTTTGTGAACCAGACAAAGGCAGCTGGCAAGGCTGGGGTTAATAAACAGCCCCGGGGTGGGTCAGTTGACAGGGCACCTGATCAAAGGTGGGCAGGGCTTGAGGCACATACATACTGGGAGTTCAGCCCTGCAAGCCAGGGGGTGAGTAACTTCTGGCCAGGAAGACGGGGTGGCGTGCTAGGCGGACTTCAGAGCTGCTCTAAGGACTGCCAGCAGAATACTGGTTCCTTATGAAGGAATACAACCCTGGGTAAGGGCCTTGCTGCAAGACAGTGGACTATTGTGGTCATTTGCTATACCTAAAGCAGGTTAAGTTTGTTACAGCTGGTGTGCTTTCTCCCTTTGAGTTCAACTGGTGGTTTGTGGAAAAGACTAAGGGGCAGTTTTGAAGGTCCCATTAGTGCCTAGGAGGCCTGTGCCTGGAAGGGGTGGAGGCGGGGGCCAAGGCGGCAGCGAAAGCCAGAATGGGCTCAGTGCCTGAAAGGGTCTAAGACAGGGCCAGGGACCCGAAGCCTGCCAAGGACAGAACCAGTGCCTGCAAAGGGTAGAAACCACGGAGCCCATGCCCACAAGGGTTGAGAACTGGGGCCAGGGGCCCAAAGCCTGAGGAGGGCTAAGCCAGATCCCAATAGTTTGAGACTTGGGCTGGAGCCTAGAAGCTGGATTGAACAGAGTGGATCTGAGCTAAGTCAGCCACAAGGGAAAAGGGGCAGAAGCCAAGTGGGCTAAGGTCCTAACAAGGGAGACTGTCTGGAGAGGTAACATCTGCGAGGCAGGGGCATGGTGTTAAGGGGTGGTTTGGAGCCATGTAATAAGCTCCTAAGGCAATGGGTACCTTGGCACACACAGGCCAGGAAGGCCCAACTACAGACAGACTGGGTTTGGGTTAGTGGTGCCTGGTAGGGGATCCACTGGTGAAAGAAGAATAAGGACTGTTTCTAGGATGAAAAGGCATCTTCCCTTTCTTAATTTAACAATTACATCAAGGCATGGCAGGAGGGAAGGTACCAAACTGATACCAGCAGCAGCATGGAGATCTCTGCAGATTTCAGCATCCACAGGCAGTAATTACACTGCTTGTTGGCTGTGCTGTAGCCTACTGGTTATAGCTCATACTCGGGTGGGGGGAGATAGGAGTTCAAGACCTGTCTCCACCTGAGGAGCTTAAGCCCCTATGTCACCTTTTACAGTGAATGGGCCCTTATTAACTTACTGTGAAAGTGCTGAGTGCATCTTCCTGGCAAGGGAGAAACACTTTTCTTATCACTACTGCCAGAACTGCTTGTGTATCCTCTGTTGGACAGTCACTTACTAAAGTACAGAAATAGCCTTGCAGCAGGGATCAGCACACAGGACTGTCCCCTCTTGGGTGATAACCATGTTACAATCAGGTTCCCTCTCACATGGTCTCTTTCTGACCCCATGAATCTTGCACTTCTGGTTGCCTTGCCCAGTGGCCTAGCTTCAAGAGCAGAAATGAAGGGGGCCCTCACACAGTTGATCCTGTAGGCTGGGGGTTATGGTGCTCTCCTAGGAGTTGGGGGATGTAGTGTTGGGTCCCCTCAGGCTGAGAAGGACCTAAAACAAGAACTCTCCTTTATGGGGGTGTGCTCTGACTACTAGGCAATGGTGCCAAAAGTGGGCCCTGCCACCATCACTCGTGCACAAGAAAGCTGCTTTGGGCACTGTGCTCTGCAGGAGCAAGGCTGCTGGCACTGGTAACCGGGCATTGTGCATGCTCTGTGGATACCTAATGGACTAAGGGGCAGGCAGAGGCGAGCTGCAAGCTGGGTTTCAGCAGAGAGTAGGCAGTCTAGACACCAGGGTGCTTGGTCTGGATCACTTACAAGTGACTGTAGCAGCCTCAGGCTATACCTGCAGGGAACTTTTCAGGACAAAAGGGAGATGCCTCCTAAATGTAGGTGCCTTGGTGGTTTTGTGGCTGCCGAAGCAAGGTCAATCTGTGTCACTTTTTGTGACTCAGGCTCCTCAGCTCCACCTAAGTCCTGCTTAGGCATCTATAATCACAATTTGGATCTGGGCCTGGCCTTTGGGGCTTCATGCAGTCTTCATGGCCCAAGAGATAAAATAATAATTAACAACAGGGAATGCTTCACCACTTCCAGGAGGTTACGAATATAAAATTATGCTTCATTAACTAGTAACCTCAACAGGGCACCATTAGGTCTCACTCCTCCAACTGCTCACACAAGAGAGCAGAGCCAGGCTGATGGCCCCAAGGGGATCTGAAGCTAACTTGTTTTTTATTTGTGGGTTGCAGACTTCTTACCTGGTCACACACAGGTAACTGATACATTGTTTCACAGGCTTGTGAACAGAGTACAGGCGTGTGCATGGAAACTGCTCCTCCCGGCATTCTGGAAGCACATACAAACACAGATGCAAACTGTTGCCAAAGGCAGTTGTGGTCAGTCTGAGGTGAATACAGGGTCCCCAAGAACTGGACACCAGCTATCAATTCAGTTTGCAAAGACCTTGTAACTTGGGCTGCATCAAAATTGCTGTTTATGTCAGTGCTCCACAAAGTTTTGGAGCTGTGGGCTCGATCAAACTGACTCGCGTCCCAGGCATCTGCTGCTACCATTTCTCACCACTGCTTAGCAGCACTGGTGTGCAAACTCCCCTTCTGCTTGGCCAAAGCAGCCCCAGTATGTAAATACCTCCCCACACCACTGGACTGCTATGCAGTGCCAGCATGCAAAGCCCTCCTAGCTGCAGCAACACCTATGTGCAACCCTCTTCTCTACTCCTTGATCCCTGGCTATGGCACAGCTGCCGCATGCATAGCAATCATCTCTACCCTCCACTGCAGCGTAGGACAGGCTATGGTGCAGCATGGACAAAGTCACCTGACTCTGTGAGCCAGATCCTTATCTAGCCCACAGCCTAGGTGATGAAAGGTTGCATACCCAGCTCCCTGATACCTGTGAGAGACTGGGGTTCTTTAGAGAGAGGAAAGGAGAGGGACATTTTTATTCCTCCTGGATCCCCATGGAGAAGCAAGGGAACATTCTTGACTCTGGGGAACTGAGCTTGACTAAACCAGTGGAATTCCCTGATGCAGGATTGACACTATTCAGGGAGTGGAGAATGATTCAGAATGGACCTACTGTACAAATAGTTTTAGAAATAAAATTTTCTGGCATGTTATTTAAAATGCAAGTTTGCAGAGGGCGTGAAGTCACAGTGCTTCAGGACACAAACCAACCACTTGTCCCTTGAGGTGAGGAAGAAAATCCCCCTCACTCTATACCATAACTCTGTTCTGGTCTGATCCAGTCTGAGAGTTAGTAGCTTCCCCTTGATTTAGGGCTGGATGGGATTTGATGCCAGACAGCTGAAAGGCTCCATGTCATATATTTGATGCCCCAGGCCAGTCAGCACCCCTGACTTGAGGCCTAAGATTAAATTAATTCATTAACAAGGGATTGCCTCCCCCCACCCCACATCCCTTTAACCCCAGGACTGGACAGAAGGAGGCGATAAATGAACAGAAGGGGCCAATCAGAGGCAAGCAGAAAAACAAAACCTACCTTGTACCCCTGTCACACTGTCAGTGTCAGCCAGAACTAGAAAAAGACAAAGGATTTGCAGAGTTTGGCTCTCTGCCATAGTTCCCCCACACCAAGGATCTGCCAGGGGCCCTGCACATCAAGGAGGGCAGTAGGCAGGAGGGGCCAAGGAGGCACAAATAACAAAACTGAACATACCTTGCGGCTTTGTTGGGGTCTCAAAGTTAGCTTGAAATAGAAATAAGACATTTGCATAGTTAGGGGTTATTTGCCATCAGTCCCAAAGAAAAAGTGAGCAGAAGGGAATCTCAAGTGGGGTAGCCTTCAAACCAAGGGGCAGCACTACCTCTGACCGTGCAGCGTCCTAGTAATGTCCTATGGTACTGGCCCTGGTATTCCCCAAGTACAGAGCAAAGGTTGGTTAATGCTCCTTCAAAACTTGGGGCACCTTGGACCCTGATAAAACAGTACCTTGTGGAGTCTGCCTTAGGTATTCACTCAGAGATGCATCAAAAGGGAGCTCAAATGCCTTGTGAGAGATGGCTTGCCATAAGTACTGCTATGAGAACTGAGGTCATCTTATTCCCCTGCCCTGGTGTCAAACAGCCACCAGTGCTATCAACAGCCAGGGCCACAGACCAACGGTGAGCACAAGGAGAGGAGAATCTCTGGGGCAGCAGTTCACAACCAGGGTGCTGTGAGATCCTTTTGGGGGTGCCACAAGGTGCTGTGGAACATTAGCACCGTTAGATATGGAAAAAAATCTATGCATGATTCACAAGACAAACTTAGAGATTTTCATTGGAATCTAGTGTCAAAACTATTCTACCCTGCTTTGGTCTTTCTGAGTTTTTGGCAACAGAGTAATTGCTCTATTATTTTTCTGTAGTCAACAAGCAAGTGAAAGCTAAGAGTTGGCATTTTCTGAGGGGTGCCTTGAGCCCAACAAGGTTGAAAACCACTGCTTTAGGGAGCTGCAGAAGGAGCAAGGGGCTGAGCCTGGCAAAGGGAGACTCTGAGCATGGGGAGGAGGGGAAAGCTGGGTGTCTTGCAGCTGGGATGGGATGAGAAGTCAGAGGAGGCCCTGAGCTGCCCTGCTTTAATAAGAGGAGTGAACTCACCAGGACTAACTGTCGGAGATCCTGGATACAACCCAGCTGGAAAAGGAAAGACAGTTTTGCTTTGAGCCTTTGCTCCCCTACAGAGCTGGCCGCAGTTGGATGGTAGGGCCCCAGGCCAATCCAGTGGATTCGCATACTCTGTGTCCCTCCCCTCTCCCACCAGTTCTCTAGGGGCTGGCCTTGGCAGTGCATGCTGCCCACCTCACCGAGCCAGTGTTGATCCAGCTTCACCCCACATCCCTCTGTGTTACTCATTCTTTGGCCCCCACCTATGAAGCTTTTCCTCCAGGAATTCATGTCTCTCTCTCCTCCCTGGCTGCTAATCACAGCCTCCCATTGTCTTTTTTTTAATTTTGTGTCTTCGGACAAATCATCCAAATCAGTTCTGAATTCTGTTGACTGAGCAGAGCTCAATCATTCAAGTCTATGTAGTGCTACCACCAGCAAGTATCCTCGCTCCCAGACTCTTCTGGGGCTTCAGATACTCCAAAATTCAAGGCAGGCATCCTACATGCAAGCCCCAAGCCCAGAGGCCTTGGAGTTCAGGTGTCTCCTAGTCTTACTTGCCTCTAGCCAAAAGGCTGAAGGAGCAACATAGAGGGAAAGCCTGAGAGCAATTCCCCCTAACCATAAATTGCATAGCCTATATATCCTTGCATTTGGAGGCATTTGTAGACTCTCACAGGGGTCAGCCTGCCTGCAGTGCCTCACACTGTCCTTGCTCTACCCCAAAGTGACCGCTAGTTGTCAGCAAACGCACACTAGTAATCTGTGTCACCACAGCCCACGTGCCAGTGAGTCCAGCCAAATCCTGCCTCTGTTCTGCTGCCCTTCTTCCCTGCAGTGGTCCCCTGCTCAAACCTCACTTTTAATTGCTCCCTATCTCACCCTCCCCCAGGAGGTCAGGATGTCCTGTGTACATTGTCTAGATCAAGCACCAAATGGCATCCTCCCAGGAAACCACCCCAAACACGTCCTCCTTGTGAGGAACACAGTGAGAGCAGCTATCCAGAGCTGCAATGTAATGGCCTCTATGGAGGCACTGAGGGGAAAGGAGGCTCTGAAGGGTCATACAGCTGGGAACAACAACAAGCCAGGAATGAGAGGCTCTGAACCCTCCCTGCTTTGCTCAGAGAGATGAACTCACTAGATCTTGCAGTGGAGGGTCCTTGCTCATCTGCCTCTGGAAAAAAGAGAGAAAGCTGTAAATGATCCTGTTAGTCTCCTACTGAGTTAGCTATGGCAGGGTCTTGAGAGAGTGCTAATGACTCAGTAAGACTTGTGGTGTATCATTGTCCAGTCTCAATGACTGGGCTGGCATCTTCTAGTCCAGTGGTTCTCAACCTTTTTTGTACCAGGACCCATTTGTAAATGTTGATGGCCAGTCTCAACCCAGTGCCCCTCACTCCCAACCTACTGCCCCCAGGCTCCAGCTCCCCAGTGTGTGGGGCAGGGAGTGGGTGTATGGGACTTTGCGGGGGTGGGGACAAGCAGCCCCTTGCGGGTTGGAACTCTGCCAGCCTGCAAGGGGAAATACACAATTTCCCACATTTTTGACTTTTAAAGGAGTATCCATTTTTAAAGTTTGCTTATCTATTTTTAACATTTGTTCATGACCCTTTCATATATTCTTGTGGCCCACTTTTGGGCTGTGACCCCACTGGTTGAGAAATGGCAGGGTACATGCTGCACTGAGTCTTAGGTACAAAACTGCACTGAACTCTGGACCCAGCTACCAACTTCCCAGCTTTGAGCTACCTTGGGTGGCCAGATTACAGACAACCTCAGGTTCAGGAGCCCACGCTGCTGCAGCATGCCCTTCAGAGTCATACAGGGGACTGCTCCCTAGCCTAGGTTGTTAGCCACTGGAATTCCCCTCCAGAGCAAAACAGATTGCCAGGCAAGGGGCAACAAGTGGCAGCAAAGTACTACCACTTCTTTGCTCTACCCCAGGGGTTTTCAACCTTTTTGGATCAGTGTACCCCCAGCGGCCAGATGTGGAGCCGTGTACCCCTGGTGGCTAGACACGGACTGGGGAGTGGGGGGTGACCGGACATGGGACTGGGGCTGGGCAGGGAACACAGCTGGATGTGCACGGGATAGTGCGTGGTGACACTCTGTCCCCACCCACCCACACATACCCCCTTGGGCTATCTCAGGTACCCCTGCTCTACCCAAAATTTTCACAGCCCTGTTACAGAACAGATTCAAAGTTTCACAGCCCTGTATCAGCCAAGCAGCCTCCAAGGCAGCCCCAGGCAGAGTGCATTGCAGGAATGCTGCAGTGAGTTCACCATGGGGCAGATGGCTGAGGGGAAGGCCTGCCACCTGAGGGAGAAGGCATGGTCATGGAGCTCCCTGTGTTTCCACAGCACTGTACAAGCACAACTTCAGGTATTCTCTTGCCTCTTTTGGCAGGTATGTCCCTATCATCATCCTACTGTAAGTATGGGGAAACTGAGGCACAGAGTTATATGACGACTTGCCCAAAACTCCAGGGCAAGTCAGTAGCCAAACCAGGGACAGGCTCTGGGTCTCCATAGTTCAGCGTGATTCCACCACTAGTTCATTCTGTCCCCAGCAACATGTCCCTGCTCTGCACAATTGGGCTTCACTGAAGCAACAGTTTGGTTCCCCTAACTTCTGGATTTTAGAGAGTGACTCTGATCTATCAACACCCTGCCCAGCTGCGCCTCTGACTGCACCCTCCTAGCCTTGCCCCTCCAGGCCATGTCTGTCTCTTGAAGTTTCTACCTCCTTCTCTGAGATCTGGCCTTTGGTTTGTGCCTACTCACCTACAGCTATTGTCCAGCTCACCTCCTGTCACCTCTTCTTTAGCTCTCTGACAGGCCTGTCATCCCTCTCCCATCCATTCAGACTCCAGCCACAAAGGGCATGGTATGCCATCTTTACTACACCCCCCCCAGCTTTTCAGATCCCTCCTGTGGTTCCTGAATCAAATCAGAATCATGTCCTTGCCATTACAGGCCTGTCAAAGTGCTGCCTCATCCTCTGTAAATGCCTTTGTCTCTTCCTGTATTCTTTTAGTTGTCCAGGACACCAGCCTCACCACCCTTTTTAGGCACCTCTCCATCTTGCATTTCTGTAACTTCTTCTAGGCCACCCCATCCACCAGGAACTTCCTTCCTCAGTTAATCCATAAAACTGTTACCTTTTCCTCTCCTGAGTTCCTGCTTGGCACTCACTTCCACCGTCACAAACTGTCAGATGACAGTCACTACTCATGCAGGGATTTAAAATAATGAAAAGGTTAAAGATCAGACAGAGCTTGGGCAAACCCATCAGGCTGGTGTGTTTAGGACAGTGGCTCCCAACCTTAGGTTGTGACCCAAATCAAGGTTGTGGGAGGTCTGCCCCTCCCGCCTGTGGGGCTGCTGCCCCCTGCAAGCCCAGCCCAGCCCAGGCTCTGCTGGTGCCACCAGGCATAACTGAGTCGGTGGTGGGGGTCGTGACCCGGATTTGGAGTCACAGCAAAAGAAGTTTGGGAGCCACTGGTTTAGGGCATGTCAAGTTCTGTAGCCAATGCACACATGTGAGTGATGGGGCCAGCATCACGTTCAGCAGCCTTGGGCTTCCCAGCCCAAATGGACAGGTGCTACTTTACAGCTGAGTCAATGGAGGGTGGCCCCCCAGCATAAGGCTCAAATTCACACTTCTGGATTGGTAGCATAGCGTTTTACCTTCTCATCCATCACATCTCATATCATAATACACCTAGTGACTCCGAACAGACTAGTTGCACACAGGGCCAGTCCATGTAACTGCTATTGCTGCAGCACCTATGTCTTTCCTACCCTTTTCCCTCTATTTATGACACAGGTTTGTGGTGTCTGTAAGCTTTTTAGGCAAGGACTGTCTCTTACCCCATGCATGTACAGCACCTAGCACATAGGAACAGTGATCTCAATGTCCATGTAATTAAAAATAGCAGCCCTGTTTGGAGTGGATGCTAGAAGCTGTATGATGCTGTGGAGCCAAGCTTCATGGCAGCTGAGGCCAGGAAATAGAATGCCATTTGCAGAGAGCGAGAATATTGACCAAGACACTGGGACCAAAGAACCTATTCCTGAATGAAGATCCCTGGGGTTTAACCCCGTTATAAGCTTCACCCAAAAGGAAGCACCTCTGATACCGAAGGGCTTCCTACGAGCATGAAGGAGTACTAGGGTGCTTCCCACTGAGCAGCCAGCACCCAGATTCTCCAATGCTCGGGACCAGCCAGGCCCAATCTCTAATAAGCCTGCAGCTTGACTGCGTGTAATTACAATGCATCTCCCTCCACCACATGACCCACACACTCCTGTATGTGCGTGCACACCATTTACACACTCCTGTATGTGCGTGCACACCATTTATGGCAGACCAGACAGCAAGACTTACTGACTGTTGGGAGTGTTGGTTCTGTATCTTGTCCATTGACTACTTGTGGAAACCAGTCTGCAAGAGAAGAGGGGACAGGGCAGAGGTCAGAGCATAGGATTTGCATAGGCTAGAACACTTTTTTTTTAACGTTTTTCATTTGCAGACCCCTAACATTTTTTGCAAAGAGGTGCAAATTTGTAAATTTTGCAAATTTTTAAGTTTTGAATGGTGGTGCAGACCACTTTGAATTGTAAGGAGGGTATTCAAATACTTTTGATTGATCATAGTCATCTTTCACATACCCCTTAAACATAGTCTGCGGACCCCCAAGAGTATGTGGACCACAGGTTGAAGACCACTGGGCTAGAAACATTTATGAAATAGTTGGAGCTGGTGTATGGTGTATGCCACTACCCTCTACTGGAGGCGAGGAGAACCACTCAGCGCTATGGATTGTTTGTTCTTTGCAGATTCTTGGAGTGAGCAGATCTGGACGCTGCTCCTGCTGAACCTGTGAACATCTGAGGTGGCAGTGTGGCCTGGAGGGACACTAGCAAGCACTCCCCAGCCACACGGGCCTAGTGGCATGCTCCAAACCTGGAAATACAGTGGTGAGGCTGCTTCAGGAGGCATCTCCAGCAGCCACTCTCAAACACTGGACATTGAGGGCTTGTGAGTGGCTGCAGAGGGATGTCCCAGCACATCTTCTCCAGCTGAATTTCAGGTGGGACTGGCATGGGGGTGGCCCTAGCTGGGGCCACTGCTACCACTGTAGCACTGCCTCTGACAGGCACTCTTGAGGAGAAGCCATATACTCCTTTGTGGTTGGGCTTGTTCACAGATTCTGAACTTCTCCAGGACCCATCTGAGGACTTGGTTGCATTTTACACACATTAACAAATTGCATGCCACAGTCCTCTCTTAGGCAGGTCAGGATCAAGCTACAGAAGAGGCAGTAAGGTATAGGCAGAGGATGTGACTTCCCAAGCCACAGAACAAGCCATTAGCTGTTCAGGCAAGTGCAGTCTGCAGGTGGCTAGCCTTTCCCTCTGTGTAGGGACTCCCATGGTCCCACTTACCCCCTCCCTTGGCATATTGCATAGTGAGAATGATGGAGGCTGACTGTGCATCCAGTGACACGGAGATGGAACTGAAATAGAGTTACCCTCGTTGCTTTTCAGAATGGAAAGGGTGAGATTGGTACTGCCTCAGGCAGTCAGAAATGGGAAAAGATTTTCTTCTTAGTATAGGAAGAAGAACATGTCTGCATCATTGCACTGGGAAAAGGACACAGTTGGCAGGAAAAGGCTGGGAAGTGTTGCAATAGCCCACTGTAGAGGGTACCTTGATGATCCTGTCTTTGCCTCTGGCCTGCCTCTAGCTAGCAACTGGGGGCTTTGCATGTGTGAGGACTACAGAACTAGGTCTGTAAAACCCTCTTTAAGTCCCAATACAATAGCAGTTATTTGTATCTTGCAAGGAAACACTTGTACCCTGGCCACAGCTCTACTCAACAACATTACAGGGCACCTCCACATGTGCCTGACACCTCTGATACATGCTGCAGCCTCGATAAATCAACTTTTCTGAAGCATGCTAATTAGCACACTCCAGCAGCCTTGGCATCTCATGTATTCAGTGTCCCTGCACTTCAAAATTGCATCTTTAACTAAAGCTCATCAAACAAAATTTAGTTAAAGCACCCCCAGTATCCCTTTTGGAGCATGGGACACTGAATACACAAGAGCAGCTCCTGAAAGCCGCTTCAATTAAAGCTTCCCCTTCCCCCCACATGTAAAGACCCTGTACAGAGTCCAGATATTCCAGGTCCTTCATTTCCTAGTCTGTCCCTGTGTCCATGGAAAAACTGGGGTTGTAGCCTTTCTGCTTTCTTTGTGATGTGAAAGGAAGACCTGAATCTCTAAATGTTTTTATATTTTTTGTTGTTGTTTTTTTTTAAATTTTGCTTATTTTTCATTAAGAATTCAGGACTTTTCTCACCTGTTCTTCCAAAAGACCCTAAGGAAGGGGTGTCAAACATCTGGCCTGGAGAGGTAGGTCATCCACCCCACAGGGCTTCTAAAAGGCAGAACCACTCACCTCCATGGGCCAGATTTGGCTGAAGAGCTTGTTGCCATGGGTGCCAGGGCCCCTTTAAGGGTGGTGTTAATCCCTGCTGTTCCAGCACAGCTCCAGAACCCAGGGAGTCACTTGACTCCTTCCTCCCCCCTTATTCTTTGCTTAAAATGGAGATTTTAGTCACCCCAAAATCAGCACTAGAGGAAAGTGGGGGGGGGGGGAATGGCAGCAATGTGAACTCTCTGGTTCTGGAGCTGTCTCTGGCAGCTTCAGGGATTACTGTCCATGGGTCCTCCAGCCTGCAAGAAGCCCTGTTATCTAGGTCTGATCCAGAAGAAGCCCCACAGTCACAATCTAGTCCACAGGACCCAATAAGTCTGATGGCCTGGCTCTAAGGACATCTGGTGTGGATGTAAAATCACTGAGACCCCTGAGCAACTGAGAAGGGCAGGGACTTTGTATTAGGCTATTTAAATCCCTTTGGTTTGGGATGCATAAGGCTGACAAAACGTTAGGAGCACATTGTTAAATCTGTTCCCAGTTCCAGAAGGTTCCTACTTGAATTCTCTAGATCTCCAACTAGCCCTTTAGCAAATCAGATCATTGCTTGGCACTCTGTAGTCATCTGTAGGTAAAAAAACCCCGAAAACCCAAAAATAAAAACCAAGCAGGAACAATCCCTTTCCTAACTCCTTTATGTATCACAAAAAAAGAAAAAAAGAAACAACCTTTTCCCCTTCCTATTTCTTAAACCACCACCCTTAAGAGCAACATCTGTGCGCTATGGATGCCTCTCCTCCCTGCACTGTGGCCACAAGCTTCGTGTCTTCTGTGGAGCCTGCTTATGGGACAAAGCACTATTTGGAGTAGGAACAGGACTGAGGTGCATCCAAGATCCACAGGTGTAATAGGGAAATTCTCCTCTGAAGGCCACCCTCTCAACACAAGCTGGGTACTCATGATGAGTGAGGAAAGGAGACCAGAAAGTAATAGATGTAGATGCAGCTGATGGTCTTCCCCCTACCTCCCCTTCCATTATCCAGTCCCTGGTTTTCTCCACCCTAGATGCAGCTCTCTCCTTTATAATGGAATTGTCCCTCGGTCTCTGCTCCAATCTCAGCAGTTAACGCTGCTCTTTGTGGCTGCCTTCTCCAAATTTGGTTTCTTCTGCAGATGTTAATCCTCCCTGAATTTATCACACAGGATAAGCCAGCACAGATACAAAGTCACCAGAAAAGGGGGCTGAAAAACTAGGCTTAATTGACCAATAAAACTGGGAACTCAGCATCTGGGAATTAAGAATGATGAGGAAGAAGCTTTGGAGGCTGAAGAATGCCAGGCATGACACTGTTATGAGAACAAGCTCCATGGACCATCTAGAGATGCTCTGCAGACTAGATCCAAGACACTGCCATAGGCAGCACCTGGCAGGCACTGGTTACCAAATGTTTCTGCTGCCCCTGTCAACTCCCATGGAGGATGCAGCATGCTCACCACAAAGCACATATTGCAGCTGACCCCCTCCCTAAAGACTGGCCCTAGACTCCAAGGGGCAGGGATGGATTCATGTACAGTCCTAGAGGGCCTGGGCCCATGACCCCCTGCAGCAGAAGACCCCACTGATGGAGCTCCCACCACTGCTGTTTTTCTACAGATGCAGCTCAGTCTGTTGGCTGCTGGATGATTTGTGCCATCATCGCCATACAGAGAAGGGGGCAATGCCAGCCCAGTCTTGCAGGGGGTGCTTCGTACTGGTTATTTTCTACTGTGGGTGGTGATCAAAGCAATCTTCTTTGGGCCCCATACTTCTTGGGCCCAGGGCCCCAAGAATTCTTAATCTGTCCCTGCCAAGGGGCACCTGTCCATATGAGAGGAAAACTCAGCCCATGTTATCAAGAGGGGCTCTCCACCGATTCCTCTCGGCGGGCCCCTCTACTAATTTCTATGCCTCCCACCTGGTGGGCAGAGTGGTAGCTACTTAGCAAAGTGGCCCTATCTTTCCTCCTGGCATGTCCCCACTGCTTACTCCTTGGACCTTATGAGGAAGGGAGAACTCTGGCCCTGCTCACTGCTTTCCAGGCTGTACTGCCTCACAATCCCTCCTCCCTTCCCTCTCCTCTTCTGCACTCTTCCCTTTTCCTCCCCTTCACTTTCCTTTGGAGGGTGTGGGTCTTCTCTTGTCCCACACAAGAGAAGGAGTGTGCGGGCAGTGGTCCCTGGGGAGTTTCCAAGGAGCAAGGAAAGCGGAAAGAGCCCTGAATTCACTTCCGGGGCCAGGGGGGATGGAGGGACACTCACCACCTGGGGGCACAGAAAGAGCTAGGATGCACAGCAGCACGCGGGCTCCCAGGGTCATCATCACTGCAGAACAGAAGAAGAGAAATCTGATGAAAGTCAAGCACAAGCCATGGGGAGGTCTATACCAGGTGGCATGGACACTCTTCTCACCCACTGACCACCTCAAACATGTGTGCCTTCTCATCCTCCCTCCCTCCAGCTATCTCCCACTATCTCTGCCTTCTCACATCCTCAGCTGCTGCCCAGGCACTTGGGATTGGACAGAGTGCTCTGTTTACCTTCTTTCTTTATCCTCCATCCTCCTTTCCTCTTTTTGTTTCCCTCCCACTTCTTTCTCTCTCTCCTAACCAGCCATCTAACCTTTCTCTTTTTCTTGCCTATGCTGTCATTTTATTAACAGGAGCCAAGAAAAAAGTTCTTAATCTTAACCCCCCCCCAAAAAAACCAAACAAACCCAAAAACAAAAAAACTTACTTGCTGGGCTAGCAAGGAAAGGGATGGGATCCCTGTCACTGAGTGCTGTCCACTGCCTCTGCTCCCTTCAGCTGCAGACGTTGTCTCTTCCTGCTTTGGCTGGTCCCCCATTTGGCCAGAGTGTAAGTCATAGGCAGCCACTCCCAGAAAACGTTCCACTGTTAGTCGTCTTCAAAATACAATTTTGAAGAAAAGTGGAGCCAAAGAGTAGGACTTGGTGTCATAATGCGGATGGAATGAGGGGGGAGTGAGCCGAAGAGGCCCACACCCTCATTCCAGAGTTTATTAGGATCCAGAGGGAGCCAGCTCCTCCCGCTCCCTCTGGACAGTCCAGCACCGGGCCGGGTTTCCAGTGCTTGTGTTAGACCCTTGTGTCCTGTTCCATGCTGCCCTCCAGTACAGACGTCTTTTCCTCCCTGCCTTTCCCTCCCTCTGGCCCTCCTCTCACTGCTCAGCTCTCCTTGCTGAGCTGCCTGCTCTTACCCATCCCCTCCATGTGCCTCTCTCACTGCCTGCCTATTGCTCTCTTGTATGTCAGAGGACTGCAAAGTACTCACCTGGATTTTCCTGACTGCAATTTAAATGTTATGTAAAAACTCCAAATTGCATAGAGATCCCAACGGTCATTCTCACCTGGCTGAAAGGGAACAGCCTTCCTGCAACCCACCAATATACCATTCTGTCCTAATTCTGGATTTAAAACTATAGATGAAGCTTAGAGCATCGGTTGCAACAATGTCCCAGGCTTTGCATGGTCTCAGGTAAAGAGAAACATCAGGGATCTGGGTTCTAATTAAACTACCTGCATTACACTCAGAGATGATTACCCTGCTGATTACTGGTCTAAAACCAGGGCAAAACACAGGCATGGGTGAACCAGGCAGCTACCTGAGGCCCAGACAGAAAGGGGGCCTGAAAATGGTAATTTTTTTTCGTTGTCTGATTTTTATTATCATTAGCTCTAGCAAAGGAGAGCCCAAGACTAAAAGTTCACCCAGGGCCACCAGGAGTCTCGGTACAGTGCTGCCTAAAACATATCCGTGTAGAAGCATGCGTCTGTCACCATTTCTCTATTTTCCTGTTGCGATCTCACTCTTTTTTCTTCCGCTTGCCTTTCCTCTTTCTGAACATATTTCTTCCCTTCCTTCTACAAACCTTTTTAAGGTCTGCTTTCATGCTTTTCCCTCCTCCTTCTTCCTCCTTTTTCTCCTTCCCTCATCTTTTCATGCCTGAATATCCCCACATGTAATATTTATTTCCACCACCTGGGGACCTGGGTGTATCATCCTTTAAGCTTAGCTTGTTGAGTGAGAGGGTGAATTATATTCACTCCCATTCGTATCTCCCAGGATTTCTGCTTCCAAGGACCCTGGCTGTGTGGCTTAGTTATTACAAACGGGCAGCAAGTGATGAGTCCAGGAGGAATTTCAGATCATTCAACTAACATAATTTAGCACACGAGCAGTGGGTGGGGACAGCCTGTAAACTATTGTCCTGACTGGATAGACTTGCATCACTGCTCTCTGCTCACACAGGACTGTCCTGAATGCTGCATCACAGACTCTGTACCATTATGGAGCTAATGTAGATTCTTCTTTAGTTCAAGCAGTCAGATCCTGGGTTTTTGGAATGGGAAGAATGAAACGTTGTCTTTGCAGCTGCATGACATTCCAAGCGGCCGAAGAGTGGAGCAAGGTGAAGTCTTAAGTGGCCACAGATGCGCTACAAGAGAAAAGCAAAAGACATGAGAAAACAGAACAGGGAGATAAAAGGAAAGAGAGAAAAAGCCCAGAACAGAGACAAACGATTTCCATGGCTCCCAGACAGATGGAGGTCCTGGC